GTGAATATTTAATTGTTTTAAATCCTGAAGTTTTCTTATCTAGACCTTGTATTTTATTAGTTGGGCATGTTATATGGTATCCTAGCATTCTTGAAGACATAATGCCTTAGAATAGCAAAACAGGTGGTAGTCAGTTTAAAAAAATATCAAACTTACTTTAACTTGCAACAATGAATGAGTGAATGCACGAATTAAATTTCAACAAAGTTTCAAATAAGCAAAAAAAAATTATATGCTTACTTATATATATATTAGCATTACATTACATTATAATATCCATTACATTCTTCTAGTAATAAGTGAATTAAATTTTAAACATTATGACATAAAATATCATATCCTACCGTTTTTAACTTGTTACTTAATCAGTGCCTCAACTAACTGCTAGTGTGTGCACATTATTTACAGTGTGAATATTTCGTGTGGAAAATATTTTAACGATACACCTTTCACAAGAGATTGTGATTTTCATGAATAATAATTTCATATTTCATACAGGTCTGCAGCCTTTTTAGCGTGATGAGTGATTACTACAACCACAACCAGGTGAATGCTGTGCATTCAGCATATATGTGATTGCTGACTGCACAGCTTGGTTAAGCTACTGCAGCCATTTGCAGTATCTGAGATATTTAGCTGCTGCTTGCAAATCATCAAAATGAGATTTGGATAATTTTGAATGCGTGTATATGCATGCGCGAGTTTTACAATCGTTTGACAGCTTTCTGAATAAATTTCCTTGTTGCAACCGTTTGCAAATTCAGAATCTATTATCGGTTGCTTTTAGTCAAGCAATTCATCAATCCCTGCAAAACGACCTAACCACTAGCACAAGATATTTTCATGATAACTGCCTTGCACAAGAAGCCCATTGTGCACAGCAGACTTTTGTCGTGATACAATAGTTACATTTGGCTTTGTTTTTGTTACGTTCAACGCGGGTGTTTGTTGAAATACGACAGAATAATTATTTGCCAGTTTCTGTCTTCGTTCAGTGCACACAGCAAACATTTTACCTCTTGCACAATTTGAGACTTACGTGACCCCAAGGTGCACGCTGATTGAAACGCAATGAGTGAGGTACAACGGTTTTCGTCTTGGACTGCTGTACGGCTAAGCTGACTCCAGACCTTGACATGACTGTTTTGTATATATATACGTGTTCCGTGACATACCTCAATGAAAATTGTTAGGAGAATATGTTTCATGTTGTTGGCCTAACGCACACAACTAATTATAGTTAAAATTGATGTTTCTGACATATATTACAACAAAATTGTCTACTGTGTGTTTGGTTAAGCAACACCCCGCGGGACAAATAACCAACCAAAACCGATTTCCACTCAATTAGCCAGAAACTAATGTTTTTACGATAAATACAGAAAAATATAAGTGGGTGTAGACCATTACACACAATATGTGATACTGTGTAAGTCTTGCGCTTAGTATAACTATTTCAAGTTACCCAGCGTGTGTCCTGAGAATCGTCCCACTTTCGTTTTTCGAGATATCTTATCTCAACTGTTCAGCTCATTAACCCAGAAGTAAAAGTACACGCGAGCACCCGTATCAGTACTGACTGGGTAAATAAAATACTCGTACATGCTCCACTTTCCCTTGTGCATGTAGAAATCACCTTTGCGTCACTGTGAAATGCGTCAATGTATAAACAAAGTTAAATGCCGGGTTTCAAATGAAACTGATGCAAAACACAATAAATGAAGGTATACAAAGATCTGCAGCAGGAATTTGGTTAATTTTTAATTGCAGGCGAATATAAAATCCCAGACTAGCAATATACGATTCATAAACGATTTCATTCAAGGAACTACAATATCATGGGTGAAAGGGTTTTATAATTAATTAGCAGAGGTCCTGGCAGCAACCATGTTAATTGTTATGACTTGGAAGCTATATATACCTAAGTAACTTAGTCATTTCTTTACTAACAAACGAACGAACCAATCAAATACGCGAAAAACAAACAACTGAACAACCAATCATCTGTTTTTTTGTCAGACTATACTATCAATGCTTTCTATTTTTTTGTTCTTGATGAAAGAATTCAAGCACGCGATGAAAAAATCTGCCAACATTTCGAAGTCACTTACTGTTGTCGCTAGCACGCATGCACGCACGCACACAACCGTGTAGATATTTAAAAAAGTTAAACTGGGAGTTACCAGACTATATAGAAGGACTTAGTAGACTATAAACGAGTTCATAGTTTTTTATGAAAGCAAGATAAGTACATAATGCAAGAACAGGAAACAGTGAGGAGCCAAACATCAAGGAGCTGAAGTAGAATGGCAGTGGGGCAGCTAGAGAGAGTAGGGGGAAGGGAGAGATAGAGGGAAAGAGGGAGGGAGAGAGGGAAGGAAGAGTGAGGAGGGTATGAAGGAGGAATAGAAGAAGAAGCATGAATGGTATGGCGAGTAAGAAACAGGGGAGAGGGCAGAGTTAGAAGGAAGAGAGCTAGGGAAGGGAATGAAGGGAGTTAGGGAAGGGAGAGATGAAGAGGGAGGTAGGTAGTAAGGAGAAGAGGGAGAGCAGCAGTGTGGAAGACAGACGTGGTAAGGTGGTATGCAAGTGAGAAAAAATCGAAAGCATAACTATCAAATAGAATAATCATAAAAAAAGCCTCAGAAAAAACGGATTTGAACGAACACAATATCTAGAGCGATAAACACGCAAGGCGCGATTGCCAGCACACATCATGCGCCCACTCTGTGTAACAGCAGCAGGTTCAATCACACGTGAATATAGTCAGTCAGTCATAAATCTACCGTAGGCTGATGGAGTGCAACTCAATAGCATGATACCAAGAGCTAATAAACACCTTATTATTATTTATATACACCTTAGGTATTTATTAGCTCTTGATGATCTCTACCTAGAGGCGGAACAAACAAATTAGTGCCATAATGAGCGGTGCAGGAATAGCACGAGATTCATTCATTTGTCTTCCATTCATGTCTTGATCGATAAAAATTACCATCATTATCTGATTTATCACGTGACTTAGCAGAAATAAATGACGAATTTCTCGATCCATTCAATTGATTTCGCTCTGGTTTTAGCTTGATATGATGTGATAGTGACGAAAATCATCTATTCACAATCATTTATTTCCATGAATCGTCCATTAAAAAATGTGGCTTTAAAATGCGGGCGCATGGGTATAGAAATGGGAGCAGCACGAGAGAAGAGAAATGAATGAATACAAAAGTAAAAAGCTGTTCGCGAACCAAAGGCAGCAAAAAAGCAAATGAACAGGAAAGCACCATAGCTGAATCGCTGGTTAGTATTACAGTATTTAAGTGCGCACTGTACAGGAGGTATTAGTAAAATATAGAAGGATTAGTTGCTTCTTTGCCTGCTTATCTGCTTTGCCTGCTAATTGGTAGAGTTAGCAAGCATTTTTACAGCTTTTAATTATGTTAGAGATCACTATTATTATTATTATTATTATTATTATTATTATTATTATTATTATTATTATTGTTCTCTTCTGTAACGTACATATTATTCCCCTACTTGTGCCAAGTGTATGTCCATAAATCAGCTCATAACTGCGTTGTACGTAACTTAACTCGAGTTTGACATTGATACGTGGTTAAAGGGATTATTTCTCATAAACACGGTTACACACAAAAATAAAAATATATAGTAAACTATAGTTTATCCTACTCACGGCTACGCTACTCATTACCAAGATTTGACCATTACAAGGGATTTGTATTGTTATAACACAGCCGCATTTGTGAATGTCACAACAATTGATTTGTAAATGGCACCACAGTGTAAACTGTATCTAATTCATACAAAAGTTCATCTGACTCTGTGATGTAAGTGGTTCTAGACTAGTACCCCGTCTCTCTTACTTCAATCAATTGCCAATATCAAAGTGTAGAGACAGCGTACCAGTTTTGGAAAAGCTTTTCTCGCACGATGTGAGAATCACATGACATCAACAAGAAACCAACAAGGAGATTTCAAACATTGCATATATACACTAGTATTGCATTGTATTGCACATAGTATTGCATAATACTAGTTATACTTAGAGTAACAATGTACGAATGTTCTAAGACAGTTGTTATGCTTACTGTAGACATTTTGCTGTTATGCAAGGAATACTGCTGATTATTGCAACTGTTGGGAAAATGTGATAACATCCGGGAAAATATTCGAGATACTGACTTTAAAGGAGGATGTTGAGATCGAGTTTTTCAATAGTTATTTACAAGGTATTGTGAGATGCTGTGTAGAAGTATCGATAATAGCGGTAATGAGCCACCAACATTTTCTCATCCCTGGATGACTTCATTTTTGTTTCAGAAATATGGTAATTATATATGCAGAATTAAATTTAATATCCAAATTAATCCAGCCCGATCAGTTAGTTGAACACAATACAAGGAAAATACCAGCTTGACTGCTGATTAAAACTCCAGCCAACCAATGCCAATTTGTGACCAGATTCTACAGTCTACTAGGAATTATCCGCTTTCCGTTCCCCGGCGGCCAGATTAAATGTGTACACGGTCCCCTGAAATTATAAACGTGGCATAAACGCAAAAATGAAAATACGTGTTTTGCACTGAAGCGCAATTTTAAACGTGCAATGAAAAATATAGCTAGACATCATTATAGTAACATTAGTCACTTTTGAGCAGTATTCGAGTTAACTGGCTAAATGCTGTAGTTGTGCTATTTCAAATATACACCAGCCTATTTTCATCTATACCAGGACTGGTGACTGGTTCGTTTCACACACGAACTAGATTCTAAATGCGTTTGTGCGCTGAAAGATCCCCCGACAACCATTGCAGTTAGCTGCAGTCGAAAAAAACACCAACACACGCTGGAGATCAGTTATTTTTAAAATGGCACAGCACTATTTCTTCACGCACGATGTTTCAACAGGTTTTCCCGAGAGATTTATGTAGAATTCACGCAACCTGTTTTTTTTTCTCGCTCGGCGAGTCTGAACTTACCTTTGCTCTGATTGGTCGTCTTATCGCGAAGCACGTTGAGCTGAAACACAGGTCCGTACTCTTCGAACAGTTGCTTAAGGTCCTTCTCGTCCATTGTGCGAGGAATCTGACCGACAAACATCTTGATGGAGTCTGGGTCGGGCGAATCTGGCTTAGGCGAATTCATGGCTACTTCTAGATCTGCAAATATACATGTATACATCATGATCATTATAATATATATATATATATATATATGCATACATATATAAATATATATGAAGAGAAGGGAGAGAGATAGAGAGCAGAGATAGAGAGCACCACACACACGGGAAGTAATAGAATGACCTCGCGCTGAGAAGAGAGAGAGAGAGAGAGAGAGAGAAGCCGAGAGAGAAGAGAGAGAGAGAGAGGGAGGAAAAGGGAGAGAGGGAGAGAAGGGAGAGAGGAGAGAGAGGGAGAGAGGTAGCAGAAGGGAAGAGAGGGAGAGAAGGAGAGAAGAGAGAGGGAGATGCAGGAGAGAGAGGGAGAAGGGAGAGAGAGAGAGTAGAGAGCAAGAGAGATGAGAGAGAGAGAGAAAGAGAAGCAGAGAGAGCAGAAAGAGAGAAAGAGAGAAAGACAGAGACAAAATTAAGAGAGAAAGAGAGAGAGAGAGAGAGAGAGAGAGAAAGAGAGAAAGAGAGAGGGAAGAGAGCAGAGAGAGAGAGAGAGAGTGAGAGGGACGAGAGGGAGAGAGGCGAGAGAGGGAGAGAGGGGAGAGAGGCAGAGAGGACAGAGGAGAGAGAGAGGAGAAGAGGAGAGAAGGGGAGAGAGGGAAGAGGGAGAGGAGAGGGAGAGGACGAGGTAGAGGGAGAGGGAGATAAGGATGAGGAGAGGGAGAGAGAGACGATGAGAGAGAGCGCGCGCCCAGGGAGAGAGAGCGAAGGAGAAGATTAGAGAGGCCAGAGGAGTAGAGAGAGGCGACGCAGAGAGAGAGCAGAGAGTAGATGAGAGAGAGAGAAAGAGAGAGAGACGGAGAGACAGAGTACAGCGCCGCGGCGAGAGACAGCACGCTGAGAGAGCGACAGTGAGAGAAAGCGAGAGAGATAAGAATAGATGGAGAGAGAGAGAGAGAGAGAAGAGAGAGAGAGAGAGAGAGAGAGAGAGAGAGAGAGAGAGAAAGAGAGGAGCGAGAGAGCAGAAAGGCGAAAGAGAGAAAAGAGAAAGAGAGAAAGAGAGAAAAGATGAGAAGAGACGAGGAGAGAGAGAAAGACGAGAAGAGAAAGAGAGGAGAGAGAGAAGAAAGTAGATGAGAGAGAGCAGCTGAGAGAGAGAGAGCAGAGTAGGAGAGAAAGAGAGGAGAGAGAGAGAGAGAGAGAAAGAGAGCGAGAGAGCGACTGGCGAGCGAGAGAGACAGAGAGAGAGATGAGAGATGAGAGAGAGAGAGGGAAGAGAGGGAGAAGAGAGGGGAGGTGAGAGGAATGGGATAGGAGAGGGAGAGGGAGAGGAGAGGAGAGGGAGAGGGAGAAGTGGAGGAGGGAGAGGTGAGAGGGAGAGGGAGAGGGAGAGAGGGAGAGGGAGAGGGAGGGGAGGGAGATTGCGAGATAATAATATAGTCAGTATTACAAGGTCCTTTTCAAACAGCAACATCAAATCTAGGCCATGTTCTCACTGGGAAAATTTCCACTCAGAATGTCAATCCGAAATGTCAAGCTTTTTGCCACGCCGCATTGTAGTAAAATAAGTCCAACAAACACACTAATTTCCCATTATTTGAGGCCGAGCCCATGCTGCGATAAACGTGGATGGAATCTGTTTGTAAAAGGTACCCTCGTGTGACAATCATCGTTGCACTTCTGCACCGCACCAACACATCCGAAATCACATGGCTTCACCTGCTAACACCACCATTCAACTAACGACCATCTCGCAATCGACAAAGCATGTCGATGTTATCCCATTTTCCCATTTTTTTCTGCTCGCAGCCACCCTGCCCTGTATTATCCCCCCCTCCGACCCACCTAGAGAACCTAGGCCACACGTAACTAGCACGAAAAAGTCATCGGTTGTTGCATATGTGCGGACGGAGTTTATAATAATCGGGGGAGCAAGCAAATGAGGCAGTCTCATGAAGACAAAACAAAACCGGGTGCCTGGGGGAGAACTCGTGGTGGCGAGTCAATATGCAGTCGATGCCAAGACCGATGGTCGATTGCACGCATATAGGGCAGGCAGTATATACGTCCCGCAGGAATATATTTAGCTTCCATCCCTGCTGGTGGGCTACGCGCCTACCCGGAAAGGCACCACACACACAGCCCGGCCACGCACGCACGCACGCACGCACCGCACGCACGCAGACGCACGCACGCACGCACGCACACAAACACACACACACACACAGCAAAAGGTGGAATGCATCCCAATGACGCTATAAAGCAGACACCCGAGCCACACGAGTCGTCCCTCATGCTGGTCCAGAGTTCACCTGCATTTACCAGTTGCAATTCGGACAATGGTAACAAGAACGCACATTTTATGCCAGGTACAGTCGTATGCTGCTCCATCGAGTACGTGCACTGTACGTATATTATATTACTCGAGCGTGGTCTAAGCTAGTGCGACAACAACTCTACATCGCGACTGTTACATTTCTTCTAGCAGGATGACCAGCACGTTACAGGGTAACTGCGCGTGCTAGCACGTAAGCTCATCATAAAACCTGGCAACACACACATAATAGCAGCTAAACGCCAAAGCTAAAACACTGAGCCACTGATGATGATATATACAACTAATATAGCCTGCACCATTCATTTGACGCGAAAATAACTCGACAGCTGTCGCAGAAACCGAACTGTTTGCTGGGCTGACTGAAACTTTCGCTGTAACTAGTAAAACAAATACTGCACGTCTCACAGACCGAAATAGTCGCACCACCGACCGCGCTGCGGCGTCTGCGTGTGGTACATAGCTAAAACTGTAACACAGGCCGGCGCGTGCGGTTGCATTGCCGTGCGCGTTACATTACTAACTGTACAATAGGCCGGCCGCGGTGGCGTACATGCTGAAGCTGCCTCGTGGCGCGTACATACTAACGTGTACACAGGCCGGCGCGTGCTACATTGCGCGCGTGCGGCGTCCAATCGAACTGTACATCAGGCCGGCGCGTCGCGTATCACATGCCCGCGTGCGCGTAAAAATTTCTAATCTGATACACAGGTCCGGCGCGTGCGTACATTCCGCGTGCGCGTACCATACTAACTGTAGCACAGGCCGGCGCGTGCGTACATTGCTGCGTGCGCGTACATACTCGTAGCAACCAGGCCGGCGCGTTGCGATACATTGCCGCGTGCGGTGTACAATGCTTAACTCGATACAGGGCCGGCGCGTGCGTACATTGCCGGCGTTAGCGCGTACATACTAAATCTGTACACAGGCCGCCCGCGCGTCGTCGGCATTGCCGCGTGCGTCGTACATGCTAACTCGTACAGCAGGCCCTGACTGCGTACAATTTGCTGCTGTGCGTGTACATAACTGACTGTTATACAGGTCCGGCGCGTGCCTACATTGCCGCGCGCGTGCGCGTACATTGCTAACTTGATACACAGCCGGCGCGTGGCGTACCCACACACAATTGCCGCGTGCGCGTTACAGTTACTAACTGTACAGCAGGCGTCGCGCGTGCGTGTCATTGCCGCGTTGCGCGTACATATCTAACTGTTCACAGGCCGGCGCGCGCGTACATTGCTCTGCGTGACACATGCTTACCAGGCCGTGCTACATTGGGGCGTACACTTAAGTACACAGGCCGAGCGCGTGCGTACATTGCCAGCGTGCGCAGTACATGCATACTAACTGTACACAGGCCACGCGTGCGTGTACATTGCCGCGTGCGCGTAGCATGCTCAACGTAGCACAAGGCCGGCGCGTGCGTGCATTGCCGCGTGTGCGGCGGAATCACACGCGCAGGACTTTTTACCGTCGTCGACCTACCGTCGTCCGATTGGTTGCCAAACCAGAGCCGTCCGCGGCCCTGCATCATACCGACAAACAGGTGCGTGGGAACCTCACGAACCTCTCTAAACGCACGCACGCGCGCACGTGCTGCCGAGCACCGCCGTCTGACAGACTAATGCACCGAGCAGGCGGGAAGCACCTTGGAGAGATTCGGAGCTTTATCGTTGGGAGAGACCCAACTTGGCACAGTCTTACGTCCACAGCACGGCGCGGCACACACGGACAGGCCGCATAGCTGAGCCCCGCTGCACACACGCGAGAGGTGACAGACCGGAGGATGGAGGAGGCGCGTTGTGAGAAGGAAGAAGCCTGGCGATTGTCTGCGCTCCTCGACAGACGAAGGAAAAGTCGGGCCGTCGGCTGCCTGCCGCAAATAGCTGCGCCGGCTGCGCCGAATCGCAACAAAGGTCAGGCGATCGCAGGCGCGCGGTTTTTTCGCCGTGAAGACTCATAACAGACGCGTGCAAAATCACAAGATGAGGGATAAGGAGAACGCGAGAACACAACTAAACGTCCGCGCCTCTCTCCGCCAGCAAAACCAACGATATCTGGCGAAAGATTTACGACGCAGGTTTTCTGCGATATACACTGCTGCCGAAGCATGCAGAGAGCGATGAGTCAACCAGTACAATTTCAATACAATAGGGTGCTACGATAACCTGACCGCATGATACTAGACTAACTAGAGGATTAAATCATGCAGTACCTTCTTTCCAGAGAGAAAACAGCAACTGTACAAAACGAGAAAATGCACTTAGAAGAATTAGAATTGATCTGTATACGAGGAAACAACCTCTAGAACACTGGAACGAACCTATAGACTTATCAACAACATGCAGACGTTTGATAGGTAAAATAATGTCCCCAATATATCCAACAACAAATATGTAGCAAAATCTATTACTCTTTGTATTAGCGGATTTATTACTAATAAAGCTAGCATGAAAATTAGTGAGAATTTGAACTATTTCAATAATTTTAGTTATTTAACAAAGCAACTGAACTGAGCTTACAGGAACATTTTTTTATTGTGCGAAAATGGAATTCGTATTTGGCGATATCAGCACACAACTGCATCTAATTGTGTGTCCTGTGAAACAATATCAATCAAGTTTTAGGTGAGGAAATTTCTACATCGACTGTTTCTCACTAAAATCTTCTCACTCACCACTATCCTTTTGCGTCTCACTCCACCAGCTTCT